CCCTATCTCGCTGTTTCTTCGCTTGGGTAGACCTCACGTGTGCATTCCCAAAGGAGAGTCTCTTTGTTGAGTGGAACCAAACTGAACGACAGTCGTTCCGAGAACGACGTTTCCTCCGCTCCATTTATGATGTTATGACCACTAGGAACGGCACTGACGCAACGCAACAGCCACCAGTTTTGACTACGTGATAATCAAACTTCGGAAAATGCCGGAAACTCAGCTTCAACAGTGTTGGATTGGCACCAAACCAATGCCGCAGCTATTGGTCCTTAGGGTTCTTCCTTGATGGTTCATCCTTCACCTGCCCAGTCCTAGGGCGTTTATCAGACCCGAAGCTACTGTCCTTCTCCCCACCTTGACCGTTCTGCCAATAAGGCTTAGATTGGGGGTCGCCAAAATGTTTACGATAACGGCAATCCCTACCGAAGGGACAGGATTGGCGAGTGAAACGGCAAGTGACAGCACCGAAGTGCATAGCCCTCCCTTGCCTACGTATACCCTTGCCCGAAGGTGGCCTGGGTATGCCAGATTGGCTCACCGCTGGTTTAGCCAAGGCTACAGCTATCAACTCGTGAGACTGATTGGATCTTAAATAGGTACCGAGGGCAGAGTCGACTTGGAGAGAAGGGTCAGTGTCCCGCAGGCGGGTGACCCCTTGTGGCAAGGCCAGCCTGTAACCCTTATCACACTCGACTGCTGCCTCGATTGATCGTGACCTCGCTAACCGGAGCAACCGGCTCAGATAAGCAACCGTGCCTTCCTCAGCTTCGAGAAGATCTCGACCACGACGACACCACCACCACCACCACCACCACCACCACCATAGTTTTTGTTGGAACCGACGACTTCGCTGGCAGTACCGGGACTTTTGGTGGATGAGCTGGCAGACTTCGCATCGGCTACCTCCGTCATAGTGGTTGTTTCGGACTCTCCGTCGAGTCCCCCATATGCACACCTTCTCAATAGTTCGTCGGTCAGCTCCAGGGCCGCCTCGAGCACACCCACAGTACTAATACCCATGTCGACACAAACATTCGACGCTTTCTCAGCCAAGTCGGGGAAAACTTCGCGGAAGGGGTCGGGCGTGCTGGACGTGGTAGAAATATAAAAAAAAAATCTGCAACCAGCTCACGTAAATCGTAGCATGACCCAATACTCGTCTAGCCGAATTCTGTGGCGGAGTTTCTGCCTAGCCTGGCACGCTAAGCTAAGGTCCTCAGCTCGGGCACCGAGCCTCGGTGGAGAACACGGTGTCGCAGTCACTGTCTCTAGG